GGGGGGGGGTGGGGGTTGGGAGGAGGGTGAGGAGAAAATCAAAACGGGATTCGAGAGACCGATAACAGGGGTAGGATAGATGATGCGGGAGTGATGGGAAGAGAAAAAAAAACAAGAGTGACCAATTAGACGCGAACGAAATGACTCGGGGCGCGTGATATCTGGGGAGGACTCACCCGTCGGGCTTTGCTTTGATACTTGAGTGCTTTTTTGGTGTCCTGCGTGGCTGTCTGCACGTAGTCCACCGCGTGTTCCACGTGGTACTCTATGCGATCTATCATCTCGCCCTAATGTAGGTAGGAGGCGCGGCGCGAATCCACACAGCGTAACACAAGGGAAGAGAGAGTGTTAGTCCTCGAGAGTAAAGGCATAGGCTCAGTGTGATTAAACTGTTAGCCGATTTCTTTGTTCTCTTATTGTCATGCATCAGCTCGCACACCGGCGTCAATATTGAGGAAAAGCAATTGTCGCAAAGAATCAACGACGTTTATGCGTAATTTACAAAAAAAAAAAAAAATTGACAAGTAATAAATGTTATAAATTTTCTTGGAATGGTAATCTCAAAGTTGTGATATTCTCAATTAGCAAAAGGCTGATTTTTTTTTTTTTACGCAAACAGTTAGTGAATATAAATTGTCGAGGTAAGCTATTGCGATAATTACTTTGACTCATTGTACGAAAAAAAAGATCGTTGAACTTGGACAAACTATATCATGACAAATAAAGATTAATAATATTATTATTGTTATTATTATTATAATTTATTAATTATTACTATCATGCAGAAAAAGAAAGCGATGAACTAAAATCTCCAGTTTCTTTTACAGAAAAGTTTTAAGTAGATATCAAAGAAAGAAAAACAAGTAATAGTTATTTAATATAATAGAATGGAAGTGTATGTAAAATAAGTAAATAAATTAGCACGGGAAAACTTGAGATTTTAGCGCATTGAAGAAATTTCCCTTTGATTAGCAGATAGTAGACGCGTCACATGATGCGGCTCACTAAGAAACATTACTGAAGAGAAGAGGATTGTTACACTGCGTCGCGCTACGCTCCTAATTGCTTATGGATAATCGTATTGTAAAACAATCGCGGGCAACTAATACAAAGGTAATATAATTGAGACGGAAATATTCTTCAAATTATAATATCAATTAAAATCAGCAAAACAAACTACTTAATGTGTATCTTGTTATGCAACCAATCGTGAGGAACGATGCTGCTCAAGCATCTCGCAATAAAGCATCTCTTTCATTAATCGATGGTTTGGGTTGAAAAATAAAATTGAAACGTGTATTTGACAAAACGGTCAACAAAATTTTTCTTCTCGCTTGAGAAAAATCAAAATCCACACCAAATAAATTTTCTCGAGGGATAAACCGCTGAGGGCATTGCTAGGCATTACTGGGCATTTCTTGAGTATCACTATTACGTTTTATTTTTAAACAATTGACAATTGTTTTATGTCAAACATATTTACAACATGTAATAAAATGTGAATATTTAATAAATTACGCTAAATAATAACAGGGTGGGTACTCAAATTTTGTAAAAGAATTCCCTGAAGATTCCCGGATTTTCCAGGAATTTTATTCAAAATTCCAGGTGAGATTAGAGAATTTCTCAATGCAGCTTTAAAATACATTAGGCACTAAGAGTTCTAATAACGTATAAAACTTAATGCGTGAAACAATTTATCTTGTCGTATATGTACAATAGTTACATTTCCATACAAAATTTTTCGAACGTAACGAAAGATTTTGTATGGAGATGTAACTACATATGTGAAGATTAAATTGTTTCACACATCAAGTTCTGCGTTATTGGACTCTTAATGCCTGACTTACTATTTCCGCATTATCGTTTTTTAGATTGAAGAGTCTTCATATAGTATATGTCAATTTTTAAATAAATTAACTTTCAATATCAGGGACTTACGATATGGAGCCACGTTTACTTTCTGAAGGAGGATAAAATTAAATTTCAAAAAACTTCCCCGAGTAGCAGTAAAATTCCATGAGAATCCATGATTTTTACGAGCAAAAATGAAATTCCCTAAGAATTCCAGGTTTTCCCGATTTTTCCCGGTAGTACCCATCCTGAATAAGAATGCGCTCTCACGATGTTATCCGTGGGGCATTACGGTCGGTCAGAAATTGGGCATTGCTAGGCATTGGTGTACATGATTTTGTGATTAGCGGTTTATCCCTCGGATTTTCTTAAATAAATAAATAAAAGTTAATAAAAAAATAAACATAATTACTTGTTTAATAGACTTAAAGCAAGCTGTAATTATATATAAGATGTACTATCAATTGAAACTATTAACCAGTATTTTGCCAACAGTATTTTGATCAGTATTTTTATTTTAAGTAAGAAATGAAATTAAAGTATCCAATGCAAACCTTTCTCTCTAATCTATTCTAAGATTTTTTAGATTTCTTCACTTTTTTATTAACTTTTTCTTCAAATGCACGTATCAATAAGGTAACTTATTGCCTACTGTCTAATTATTTTGAAAAGTCACATTTATTAAATAAAACTTATGGAATTACTGATAAATATCATATTTGTGTTTACGAAAACAAATATAGCTTCGTTTCGAATTGATTTAACTATCAGCAATGTACGTTTAATTACTGTTACAATTAGGCGTTTATCATCTGTATACATAATGTAGTACCACATCAATATTCATGACGAATATGTATTTGCGATATTTGCGATACATAACATATGCAATTGCATGTAAGTTACGTATCTTGCGACAAAATATTGTTCTTCCGTATACATACATTTATTGAAATCAAGACAAACAGCTATATTATCCCAAAATAATAAAGAAAAAAGATATGTAAAATCTTTTGCATGCAATATCTCGTTACGTCTCGTGGAAAAAAAACTTCTTATGCCAAAAAAAAAAGAATAATTTGTCATTTATTTAAACGAGTAAATTCTGTTCTCGCGGTAAATTTGCATAAAGCTGCTCAACCTTACCTGACTCTCCACCAACATGGCCATGTCCATGAACATGTCGTGCAGCTCCCTGATGGAGTTTTCGAGTTTAATGATGTCAGCGTGACGCGCCTCGATGTCCGCAAGGGTCTGTTTTGCTTGTTGCGTTTCCATGATGATCTGCGACAAGCGGTAAGATTAATCGGGTAAGGAAAGGCGGTTATTAACGCTCCTCACGTAGCTACTAGTACACGCGGGAGTAGGATCATTAAGGATGTACCCCTTGCGTGAAGACGGCTGGATTTCCTTGTTCCAACATCTCCTCGAGTTCCTCATTGGTAGTCGTTCTCCCCGCTGGAAAGGAACAGAGAAATTTCTTCGTCTGGCAAATTCAAGACGCAACTCAATTGCGAATGCAATCATCAATTTTCAAGTCGCGCTGCCGCTATTCTTTATTCAACGAACGAAGGGATTACTTGAACCTCTTAAATGATATCGCACACTAATCTCATTGTCGTAATTGTTATAATTTACTTTGTAAGCTTTTTATATCTTATTGTCACATTTGTAAAAATTACAGCATTAAAGGGGGTTTTACTTTTGCCGGCCGTAAAAGGCTGGCCCTTTTTCATGAATTTTTTTAAGGAAATCTATTATATACAGTAAAACGAGGGTTTTTGCATAAACTTATATATTATTTAAACAGCAAAAGAAATATTTTTTATTTATATAAAAAAGTATTTTAATGTCTCTAAACAACAATTGAATGTGGCATGTTTTTCGAGCTGACGGAAGTAATTATGAAAAAACAAATTGAGATATCGACTTGATTCTTTCTTCCTCTTGATCCTAATACTTTAACGCATGGCGTTAAACTAAAATCATAATTTTACAACAAACATTCAATATGTTATTAGTAAAAATTTTTAGGCCAAAACAAATTTTTTTTCAAATGGCTACCATTTTTACAAATTTCAGGCAATTGACATCATTTTAGTTCACGTCATGCGTTAAAGTATTAAGATCAAGAGAAAAAAGAATCAAGTCGATATCTTAATTCGTTTTTTCGTAATTACTTCCGTCAGCTCGAAAAACATGCCACATTCAATCGCCACTTGGAGGCGTTAAAATACATTTTTATATAAATAAAAAATATTTTTTTTGCTGTTCAAATAATATATAAGTTTATGCAAAAACTCGCGTTTTACTGTATATAATAAATAATTATATAATAGATAATTCCTTTAAAAAAATCATGAAAAAGGGCCGGCTTTTACGGCTGGCAAAGGTAAAACCCCCCTTAAAAAAGAAAATTATAAATATAATAAGCTAATAAACACTGAAAACACTCGCAATAATTTAACAATATAAAAGTCAAGCTCGTCCTTGTGACAACAATAAAAAAATTTAAATGAAATTAGGCCAAACTAACGAACAATTTATAACGAAGATGACAGCGTTTATTTAATCTTATAATACAAAATTTAAGATGGATATACGCGGATTTGCAATAATAGCAATAATAGGAAAATTCAATTAGAGTTGTCTGAAAGAAAATTTTTCTTAACAACGACCATTCAATACCTCCTCCCGGCATTTCCTCAAATAGAAATGAACACGAGCATTAGATTGATGAGCGCATATTCCGAGACGGACTCGATGCGACGATAGAGATTGGAAAGAGCTGTTCTGCTCGAATAGGCATTCAGGTTGCAATGCAGCCAATCATGGCGCGCACACACAAACATATATATATATATATATAGATACTCACTGATCTCGAGCTGTCGTTGTATTCTCCCCTTACACCGCTCCCTGTAATCGGTCTGTGTCCGATTGTACTCCGTCATCACCTCGACAAACTTCCTGGACAACGTCGAGTGTTGGGTTTTGCGTATCCTCAGATCCGCTGACGATTTGTTCGTATGTTCCTCTTGCTCGATGTTCTGCTCTATCACTAAAGCACAGAAAACAAGGACTCGGACATTGTAATGCGAAATGTATTCTTGAGAATTGCTCGCGAGGAATCGATCAATTTAATGTGCATGACACCGCGTCACGCGGACACGACATTCAAACTGGTAATAACTTACCCTTTAATTTAGCCCTCACTTTGTTAGCGGTTTTCTTGATGTCAGACATCAGATCTTCAAGTTCCAGTTTCACTTCTGAAATCGAGAAAACGAAAAAAAGTTATTCACGTGTCACGGATCTCGAGTTCGGAGACCTATTATTCTCTAATGCGCTAAAGTAGATAAAGGTTTTATTTAGAATCTGGAACAAGTGTCATTTCGAAAATTCGTGAATAGTGGGACAAAACTGTATTGCAACGTGTCCCTTATTGAACAAATCACTTTAGCAGACAATAATATAAATAATATATAAATTTATATTAATAATATTTATTATATAATTTATAAATGCACACACGGAAAGAACAATTTTGTTGAAAGATCTAAAAATTTTGCTAAAAACAGATCTGAAAATAATTTTTATTGAATCATCAAAATAATTTGTTGGAATGTTAAAACTGATAAGTATTGCTATAAAACGTTTTGATATTCTAGTAATCATTTTGACTTTCGCACAAAATAATTTTGACTATTAAACAAAAATTATTTTCAGATCTGGATTCAGCAAAATTGTTCTTTCCGTGCATATAATACGTGGAAAGAACGATTTTGTTGAAAGATTTAAAAATTTTGTTAAAGACAGACCTGAAAATAATTCTTGTTCAATCATCAAAATAATTTGTTGGAAGTTAAAAATTAAAAGCTGTATGAAACGTTTTGATATTCTAGCAATCATTGTGACTTTCTAACAAAATTGTTCTTTCCGTGTATAAAACAAGATAAAATAAATAAGTAGAAATGTATAACAAGTAGAGATGTATATTTGATATTAACGATCACAGAAACTCAATCGTCAGTACTGTGTTGTCTTTAAAAAAAAAATCCATCAATTCGTCAAATCACACTTGCAACATTGCTCCAATTGCTTCAAATGTTACAATTCAAACAAGAAGATCATACATTCGTAAAGCACATCGCGCAGCATCATCATATTGATCGAGAAACAGCTTACTGTAACCACCACCACTACACGCGCAAACTTTCGAATTCCGCAAGACGGATGCCGGTCACAGCTATCTACCGCTTTTCGCAGTACAATCCGATCTACTTCTCTGTGCCTCTGTAATTCTTATTTCGTTCGTATACACTTATCCTCTCTGTAACTTTTTCCTACTCTCGATCCGCAGTTGACGCTCCAAGTTACTTCGAGCATCAAATTACAATTTGCGATTTATGCATTATCCTATATTTTGCATTCAAAACCAACGGGATTTATTCGTGGCAGCGGAATAATTACGAGGCTTCTGTAACGAACCGTACAAAGGATATCACAGATTACGTTGGCGTATATTAATGTTGTATATACCTATGTTACGTGATGCGACTAATACATTTATTGATTTATATATGTAGGTATATATATAATCTAAATCTAAATCTATGCAAATTGTAAGTGGATTGTTTTGAAATGAAATTTGTTTTTATTTCCACAAAGCTCTTTTAGTTCGGAGCTTATACGCATTATATCTCTTTTATACGATGTGGCGAGAAGCAAGGAATAGAATAGATATGGAGACAACTTTCATATAAATATAAAATAATTTATATAAAAAGTATTATGTAAATTTATATTAAAAATATTTATTAAATTATATATTATATATTATGTTATAAATATTTTTCCTTAATTTCCTTCTATACAATTATAATAACATATCGATGATTTCCTTTTATACATCGTGTCTTTTAAATGTTAAAAAAGAATGAATATTTCAGTATTTAATAGAAAGTACTGCATATTAAAATGATATTATAAATTTAAATAATAAATAGTATTTTTATGCAGACTTTGTAATTTCTCTTTTAAACATGACTCTCGATTGGTTCTAACCAATTAGCGTGTTGGCTGATTCCAACACAGGTTTATCCGATATCTAATTACAGGAGAGTGTAGAAAAGGAGTCACGATCCCCTCCTCGTAATATCAAGTTCCAATTCAGCGAAAGCGTCCCACGCGTATATACATTAAAGAGTCCTACGCAAGTATAAACACCGCCTACGTTTTGTACGAGTCAAAATGTAATCGGTTTACGCGAGCTCTGCTAAAAGACCCTCCCTTTCGATAGGCAGACATTATGATACGCCTTTGTATCTTCCATGTAAAACGAGATGTATCGCGCTTTATAAAGAAGAAAGAGAATATCAGAGAGAGTCTCCCTCATTTCCCTCCTCATTTCGACTATTTCTTAAGGGGTTAGGCCACCTTTGAGGTCTTAAAAGATAGGTAAGTTTGGGATTTTTTGTGAGTAAATAAATAACTTTATTAAAAATCTATTTAGAGAACATTATCGTATATATATAAGAAAGCAAAAAATTTATTTTTTTATTTTTTTATGTGGCGGCGCACTGGTCTACGTCTACTTGCGGAATCCTTTTTTTCTGTACCTTCAAATCGGTGTACAAGACTAATAAAGTAC